GGATTGATGGACCTGCAAACGAAAGAGCAGCAACGGCTTTGGCGATAGATCAAAACGTCCGTGAAGAGATGAACAGCGTGTTACTCGATTGCGAGAGAGTGAGCGCGAGACACTGCAAGGCCGAGGCGCTGCTGAGCACCGACACACTGACAGTGATCCGAGCTCTCCTGCGCCCTGACAACACGGCTCCGCACCACCGTCACAGGTCACAGCCACCACTTTGTGCACTTATCTTTCGCGCATCCAAGTCGCTCGTCAAAAAATTCCATGCACCTGCACATGCACATCTCATGCACATGCACACGCGTGTGGTGGGTGGGTTCTTTAGCTCCGAGTAGACTGTGGCGTTCTGCAGTTAGGAGCCCCCTAGCATGTTTCCACCTTACTTTGGCCCCTTCCCTGCGACCTGTCATGACTCATGTGAGAAGATGTGTCGACTGACCGCGCAGCGTGTCGCCCATGGTGTCGCCGCTGTCGCGTGTCGTGCGTGTCCGGCGACCTCCGCCGAGCCTCCGCGCAGCGACGACAGAGCGTGCCCCCCCCCGCCCTGCATTCATAGAACCCATTCACACCGCAAATGGCTAAAGAAACGGCGAGGCACCAATCCGACCAAACGCCACGCAAGGCTCGGCGGGGCCGTCGCACACCGCGCTCGCGCGGGTGGCACACGCCCACAGCACCAGCGTCCGCCGCGCGCCGCGCGTGACGCGCCGCACGCGGTGGAAGACCTCGCGCGCGCAAAAGACCGCGGCGCTGTTGGCGTCCGGGCGCAGCGCCGTCACCTGCCCGCCCTCGCCCCTCCTCAGCTCGAATTCGCCGCCTCCGTACTCGTCGGGCCGGCTCAGGAAGAGCACGAGCGAGAGCGACTTGTACGCCGTCTCGCACTCCACCTCGTCCACGTGGAAATGCTCAAAGTGGTCGCCTCCGTCGTACCGGTTGTACTGCACCGACGTGCAAAAAGCTCTCAGAGGCAGGGCCCCGCCCAGCGCAGCGTCTCCGCGCCGCAACGCCGCCACGAGCGGGCGGAACAGCCAGCCAGTGTCGAGGAGCGGGTCCGGCGGCTCGTCGCCGGCAAACGACGGCGCGCCGTCGGCAGAGACGGAGTAGTGGACCACGCTCGTCGTCGCCAGCTTGAAGCCGGCGATCTCGGGGTCCCTGACTGCCGAGCGGTCGAGCTGCTCGCAGAGAGCGATCACGCGCGCGAGCTCCGACGGCGTGAAGACGCCGTCCAAGAGAGCCCAAGGCGGCGCCTCCGGCCGTGCCGCCTTGGGCACGGGCGACCTCCGAGGCGGCTCGTCCGGCCTCGGGCG